AAAAAAAAAAAAAAGTTGGAGAACATTCTGGCATAATCGGCCATCCCATTTAAATGAGAAAAAACATGGAACCTTCTAAAAAAGGGTATTCCTGAAATACGCAGCCTTCTATGACATCAGTCCCATGTGCTTCTCATGTTAACATAAAATGAGTCAACTTTTTTTTTACCCACACATATCAGGGCTCCACGTAACAAACAACTGAATACTGGTTCAATCAAGAGACCCCAAAATCAATGAAGGTGTGATGGGACTTGTAGTTCTCATTTCAACATGGCTATTTATGAGGTTGACCCATTGCTCATAAATCTTGGGAATGTTTAGTTCCTTAAAAGGCAACCTCAACATATTGAGAAGAAAGATGAAGACTGCCTGCTTCCTGCCTCTTCTATACTACAAAAATTTGGGGACTGAAAATATGGCTGTAATTTCATTAACTTGTGACTTTCTGCACAGTCCGCATCCATTCCTCATTTTGTCAGATTTTCACATGAAACTAGTAGGAATGCATTTCATTGGGCCTGATTTCATATATGTTACTCCTCTTTATGCCCTTTCATATAACAATATTTTTAAGATAATCTTTTTATGATTTACAAAAGTCCTGGCCCAATAAAAATAATCATTTTGGTGTAGTAAATTTATGATGAAATAAATTTGAAAAGTGCAAATCACTTTTTTGTCCTGACAGAGGCAGTAATGGAAGACTAGAATTGATCCTAGCTTAATAATCAGCTATAAACCAATCTTCCCAATCAAGTGCCCTCCATTTACAATCCCCACAATCCCCCAGCCAGCATATTTTAAGCTGATTGACTTTATCTCCATTAAACAGAATTAACAAAGTTAAAATTCCCTTGGGAGTTTGTCAACTGAAAAGCTAATTACCAAGTGGACTTATTTCTTTATTGTCTCAATATGTGCAGGACTTTGCCACTTTCCTTCACTGGCTATCTTGGCAGAAGTGACTTTTGTGTATCTCAGATGACTTTGGGAGAACACCAAAGCAGCTCTCCTGAGCCTTCAAGTGGCTGTGGCTGTTTTAGAGCTTAAGGGTGAAAATGCAGAGGGAGATATTGTTCACAGAGAAGATCCTAGTTGAATGATTTGTATGGAGCTAACACATATCAATTCAGATCCTGTCTCTATGTTAGTTAGAATTATTTGCTCTAATTGCTATAGCTTACTTGTTTCTGTTTCTCCCCAACCTGATATGTAACATTCTGTGTTATCAGGAAATGTAAAACCAGGCAAGCACACCGATTTGACGTAACTTGTTTCCACTGCACAGTGGCCATCAGTTGGTTTCAATTTCAGTAAAGCTACAAAAAGAGAACAAAATATAGTATTTTAAGGCACAGCTAATTATATAGCCACTGAATTGCATTGTAACTTTAAATTTGCTGATGAGATTTCTGCTCATGAAAAGTGCTAGCGTTTTTCACTAATTTCACTGGGACAGAGCTCAGCATTTGTTGACTTTTCTAGATATCTTCCAATCCATATCATTAAGGTGGTTTTTATATGCTTAAATTAACAAAATCATCTCTAAAAGACTTAACTTCTAACTTTGGTTTAAAAATATGCAGATGCTAAGAAATGAGTGGCATAAAGAATTAGAGGTTCCTATATTGCCTACACAATGGGAGAGTGTCTTAACTTCTATAGCAAGAGTGTGAATGGACCTTAAATTATGACTTATACTACAAAAAATAATATTTAGAATTTCTTGGACTCCACTATGTTTGTATAGAAAAGGACTGTCTAAGGATAATGCTTCTTTAAAACACATGTTTTTACAATGTTCTATACTTACTAAGTTTTCAGGGGATAATATTCTCTTGAATTACTGGACATACCTAGTATATAGCATCTGACAACTGGACATTGTGAATGGATTCTCCCTGCCCTTACTGTGGCTAAAAGGTTGATATTGTAGCATTGGAAAGATAAATCTATGACCCCAGTTATTCAATGGATCGAAGACCTGATTACACTTGCCACCTACAGATTGCCTATAGACATAGACTTTGTATGGAGAAGTACAATGAAATATAGGACTATTTCATTGTATTTGTTTGTTTGTTTGTTTGTTTTCTTTTTTTCTTATTTCTCTTGGGGTTTTTTTCTTTTACTTTTTTTTAAAGCACTTGTTATGTGGTTTTTTCCCCTGTCATGATTATCTTTGTGTTTTGTTCCTTTTTTCTTTTTCTGTTATTATTTTAAAAGCAATACAATAAATAAATAAACTTTGGTTTAAAAATAAAGCAATAAAAGCAATAAATGTATTTATGACTAAATAAATATCACATATTGTTTTCTAAAATTTTTGGAGATGAATTTGCCACCTCTATTAATTGTTTGCATTATGGCTTAGCTCAGTGTTTTATCTTCTCAGTATTTAGCCTGCACCAGTGGACATAGTTACTGTTCATCCAAAGTTCCTTTCTTGCTTCCTAATGGCAATGATTTGGATTTATCCATAACCCATGACACAAAATAGGAACTTGCCAATATCATTGTATGGGATGCCATCCCGCTCTGTATAGTGTCCGTGTTTAATGACCTTGTCTACATCAAACTTCTGTTCATGATACTCTTTCCTATTGAGATTCTGTTCTCCAAGGGACACCTGGAGGTTGTGCGCTTCTGTCCTATGAAAGAAAACAGCCCATTCTCAAAGGTCAGTCATAACTGTGAGACACTTCATAAGTTACAGAGAACTGCACTTAATTCATCTGAATGCATCATCACAGAAATTGTTTCTAATAGATTAATCCCTATATAAGAAGAGTGCAACCTTAGTTACAAATAACAAAAGCATTATAACACACAACTCTATCAATTGCCAAATTATAAATAATACAGCTTAAAGTCAAGATTGGACTAAACATTTTAAGCCAGAGGCAAAAGACTGGTGGTATCTCCCTGAATCTTATATAACTGCCCTGAGTAGTGTATTAGCATTAGAATGGTGAGATATACAATCATGTATAAAAGAGATAAGGCTATGTGTCAGAATCCTGAGTTGAAAAGGCATCATGGCACACTCTGATTTGTCCTCCAGCTTGACATGGCTACTTCCCCCACCTGACTCCTGCTGCCGAAAATGGTGCACTTGATATAGGGCCCTTCAGGCTATGTGGTGAATCTAGAAGTCTATAGATTTTTAAAGACACTGTTCTTTTCCGATAGGAAATGGGGGGTGGAGTTCGGATCCAGCATGGGAGAAGCAGTTCAGAATTTTTTTTCCCTAGTCAGGATGAGGGCAGGTTCTGAAAGCCACAAAGGACTATAAGAGCAGGTTTCCTGACTAGGTTGGGAACTCAGGTCCTTTCCCCAATTCCCCAGGAGAACTGCACCCAATAAGGTAAAATTGACAGAGTCAGTGTAGGCTGAAGAGTCAGGGGTGTTTTATTCCTCTCAGGACTACTTGGCTCAGTGGGGTGGCTTCTTTTCCCTTGCCTTTTGCCCATTTACTGTCCTTTTCCTGCTTTCCTTCTTTGCCAGATTGCTCATTAAAGGTTCTCAAAAGCAGTAAGCAGCAATAGGCCTCCTATGATTTGGTACAGCTATCTTATACTTTGTAGTAATATTCTTTGTTACTTCAGGGTCAGGTTTGACTCAATCCCTCATGCTCATTTGTACCTGCTAAACATGGTTAAGAGGAATACTAAAGCATTTATTTAAAAGTTTAGTCCCTTTTTAAATATAATTTTTATTGAAGAAATTTTAACAAGATAAAAGCAATAAAAATACTAGAAAAGAAACAAAGAAAATAAAGAGTATTGGTGAATAAGTAAGAAAAAAAAAAGGAAAGATTATAAAGAAGTAGCTTCTAATCTTTTTGACAGCAGTTATAAATGCATTTATATTTTACCGTCTCTGTCTAAGGTTACATCATAATTTCCTTTTTCCATAAGCTACTGTTTTTAATTGTCTATCCCATAAATCATAATTCATTTTTTTCTTTTTTTCAGCAAAAAGCCCATAAGGGGTTCCAATCATTAATAAATGTAATAGTTGATTTTTCTCTAAGCAGACAAGCACATTTTGCCATCTCTGCTAGTTCTATCATCTTCAGCAACCATTCATCCATTGTGGGTATATCAGAGTCTTTCCATTTTTGTGTATATAGTTTTTTCTAGGAATTATCTTGCTTTTTGGACTGAATTCAGCCTAACCCTCTGTTGTTTAAATGTGAAAATATCTCCTTCCAATTTATCCCATCAAAATGGTATCAGCATTGAGCTTGTCAGTAAAAAAAAAAAAAGAGAGAGATTTCCGTTTGCACAGAATTCTGACTGGAATTTCTTTAAGTACAATCATATCTGCATTATTAATCTTCAGTCTGGTAGTAAAATGCTGCTCCAAAACTTGGTCTCTAATCTTCTTCCTGACAAAGTGCACAAGAATATCCCTTGGCACATTTCTTAATTTTGCAAATCGTGTGTTAATTCTATACATAAATCAATTTCTGCTTCCATATGATCCCATTCCAAAAAGTTTGTTAAAGATTAAACAACTTTTTCTCTGGTGTCTTCTCCAGGATCCTCTGCAATTGCTCTAAGTCTCAAGCAAAATTCTTTTTCTCTCAATTCCAGTAATGCCAGATTGTCTAAGTCCTTTCCCATCTCACTGTTTATAATTTCTGTTTTACTTTCTAAGATTTCCATTTTGTCATTAATTTGTTTAATTTCTCTTTTAGTTGTCCTATAGATTCTTCAATTTTTTTGTAACTTCTTTCATCTCTTTCATCTTTACAAACCTTTCTCCCATGTTCACTTCAAAAGCAACCAGTTCACTTTTAATAGATTTGACAGATTCAGATACCTGCTTCTCCATGTTTTCAAACATTTTTTTGGGGGGGGGGGTAATATTTCTTGAGTAATCCCCTTTCTGCTGGTTGCTCCAATGAATATCTCTTTCCCTCACCAAGTCTTGCAGCTTTTCTGGTGGTCACCATTCTTTTATTTATAATTCAAAAATAAAAGTAAATCAGTTATGAAGATGAAAGTAAAAGGCAGGCTTCTCCATTTTTCCCCCTCTTTCATCTTTTCTGTTCTCTTAAGGCTTTAGTCCAATCTGTCTTTCTATAGTTTTAATGACACTGTCAATCTCATGTTACACTTATTGCCTTGTTTTGTAAATTCCCCCAATTGCCTTTTCCCTTTGATGTCAGACAATCAACATTCCCACAAAGGTCTGGTCTATTTACTTAATTAATTCCAAATAGCACCAAAAGCACTTTCGCCAAAATATGAATCTTTCAAATTTATACAGTCCCTTTTATCTGTTTGTAACTTTCTTAGTCAAAATCTTGTTAAGCTCTTTGTTATTATTTTAAAGTCTTTTAAAAATATTATTTTCCTCTTTGTTTTAGTTTCTGTAATTCAGAAGGAAGGCTGATTCCCTGAGAGTTGTTTTCTTTGTCCCATTGTTTTCAAAGACCTCTTTTCAACTGTAAATTGATTGTACCCAAAAGTGATTAAGAAAGTGAGGGTTTGGTTGAGCTTAGTGTCCTTTAAAAGGCTGCACTTGCATGTGCAAGCAAACTGTTTCTCCCTTGGCCCCTGCTGTTCCACTCACGAAAAAACCACAAGACTTCCATTCCATCTCCTCATGAGGAGTAGCAGTCCAGGATGTAGGTGGGTGATCTCTTAGTCTCTCCTTTATTCAGAAAGACTTTGGCAGCCAGAAATCTCCACTGGCTGCTATTCATTGTTGCAGCGCTGACTCTGCTCCTTCAGAGACATCTAGTCCACCACAGAACCTCACTTAGAAGCTCTTAAAGTTTAGTCTTGGTGAAGGAGGATCTTCTGTTCTGCTCCATCCAGATTCCAGAAAATGGGCATATCTTCCCATTCAAGAACAGGTAAAGGCAGCTTAACTACCAGCCATTCTTTCAACAAAAAGGAATAACTGTATCCAGACACCCTGGAATGTACATAGAAAGATGGGAAAGTGGAGATCCCAAGGAGAAATCTGAAAGGTTTGTGTTTGTGTTTCTGATAGACAACCTTTCACAGGTGGCCACTTCACTTTGTATAATGCAAGGTTGAGCAGTGTGTTTAAGAATGAGAAATGAAATGGTTTGCCTTCCAGAGATCTGATGCTATTCCTACCCTAACCGCACTGAAAAAGACTTAAGAAAATGCCTCTTTGAGGCTGCCTTTGGTTAAAAGAATGCAATGAATTATCTCAAGGTCCAGTGTCACAGGATCAGTCCTATGTCAGACCAAATATAATGGTGTCATTAATTGTCATACAACACGTGTTAAAAATCACTCACAAAAATATGTATAGCAGCCCTTTATCAAGTAATTCCAACTGTTTTCACACTATTGTATGTTTCATATATTAGATCTGCAGACAACTGATCTTGAATCCTAGATGTTTTGACTAGCAAAAAAGAATTAATGTTACAAATGGCCATCCTGACCCTGCAATGTTCCTATGAAGGAAAAGTAAAATACTTGCCAAGTTGGAATCTGCATTATCTATGTTACTAAAGATTATGTAACTTGCAACTTTTAATAATTCAGATTTCAATGGTTGTGTAAGGTATATTTTCTGTTTATAATACAGTGAAAAATGTCTGGCCTGGGGGCTGCAAGTCAGCTGCCTTGTGATTTTCAGAGTCCTTTACAGGGTGGATGGAACGAAATACTTTTTTGTTTTTGTTTTTTGCATTTGTGGAATTTTGGAGGTTCAAAGGCTAAAACTGGTGTTTTAAGTCTTGCATCCCTTCATCCCTTTCTCTCCTTGAAACTTCCAAACTCTGTCCAGTTGTGGAATGAGGACTCTGATATAAAAGATCACAGTGAAAAGCAAATTAACTGACTCTGGCAAGTATGCTTACGTGATACAGTGTGCTGCAGTCAGAACCCAGCATGGCTCAATCAGAACTCCTCCACAATAATGTCCCTTTGGTACACCCACTGAAATCTTCCTTTGAAGAGAAGCTTGCCACGGATGCTTGCCAGGAGCTGACTTGACACCTCCATAGATTCTCTTGAATGGTCTTATTATTTCTGGTTTTCCACATGTTCTGGATGTATTGTCCGTTGCGGAATTCTTGGGGGAGTTTGTTATATTCCTAGAGAACCTTCCTACAATACAAAGAAGATAACCAGACTGGAGATGTTATATTGGTACTAGACCTTATTAACCTTAAATTTAACCCAATACTTTCTTTATATCCAATTTTTTTTTAATCAGGGAAAGGACAGAAGATCTATGCGGGAATCTTTGGTAGGTTTTAGAAGCACTGGCCCAGATGTAGCTGAATGTGAGACTTTGTTAGTGAGGTTAGGCCATAGGGATCAGTTGGGATTGCTGCTTGCTTACCTCCCTCTCTGCCCAAACTCCTTATTTTTATGGCTGGGTTGGCAATGGAGTTTCCCAGGCTGATGGTCTTGGGGGATTTCAATCTGTCTTATTTGGGCCTAGGGTTGAGGTGGCTCAAGAGTTCATGGCCACTGTAAGAACCATGGGCCTGATCCAACTTATTGAAGACCTAACCTACTGTGGAGGTCACATGTCAAATCTGGCCTTTGTCAGAAGGCAGTGGTGTTGTGATCTGGACTTGGGGGATGTTAACATCAGTCCCTTGCCATGGACAGATCACTCTCTTTTGGCTCTGGAATCTCCACACCCACTCCCCACTGCAAGAAGGTAGGGCTTATTAGATCAGTCCACCCCAGGTTCCAGAAGATTTTTGGGGTTTTCTGGAAGCCTTGGAGCATAGTTTGGTTGAGGCCTTGGTCATGGCTTGGAATGAGCATATGATGAGGGCTCTGGATTGGATTGCACCTGTGTGGACTCTCTTGATTTACGAGAAGCTGCAGGAGATGAAATGATACAAGAGATGCCTAGAGCATTGCTGGCAAGAGATGAAGGCCATAGCCAGGGGAATGGTTGGATAAGAGGCAGCTCAGCCCGCAGCAGGAATGAGGGCATGGCAAACATCTCAGAAGGAATCCTTCCTAGTTTCTTGGGCTGTAAAGGTGATGGGGGATAAATGTGCTTTCAGACTTGCAAGATAATATAAATGTAACCTAGGATAGCTTGTGTGATCTTGGGGAGTTACCAGCAGAACAGGGGAGCACCACAGCTGCAATTTGTTCTCACAGCTCACAGTCAGTTTTCCCTGAGAACCTGGGAGAGAGGACTAAAATTGAAGGTGTGTGTGATATAATGGTGTGTGGGAATGGCTTTGGGAGACAAGGGGAAGAGTCACAGCCAGGGGAACAGTCAGATAAGAGGTAACTTAGCCTACAGCAGGAACGTGGGTGTGGCAAACATCTCAGAAGGGACCCTCCTTAGTTTCGTGGGCTGTAAAGGTGACAGGGGAGAAGTGTACTTTCAGACTTGCAAGATTCTATTAATGTACTGTAACCTTACAATAAAGTACAATTCGTTTATCTGGGCATGCTTCCTTTCTGGACTACCTTGCAAGGCTGACACTTTCCTTAAATGTTGTCATCTAGTGGGACCTAGGCAACACATCTTCTTGGTAGTGGCTCCTGACCTTGGGAATACCCTTCCCTCTGAGATCCAGCAGGCCCCTATCCTCCTGGCTTTCCCCACAAGCACTGGGGTAGTGTCTGGCTGATGCCCAGGAAAGTTGTTTGTTGGATGTGCGGGGTTTGTTGCCCGGGGGATGCTGGGAGTTTTTATGTTAGTTTTACACTTTTTAGTATTTTGTTCTTTGTATGCTGCCCAGGGTTATAACACACGGGTGGCTATATAAATATTTTAAATGAATAAATGAGCAATATTTGGACTTTCTAAGTACTACCTAAGCATAATGTTATAGCATCATAATTATGATATTAACACATGTCAAATTTGGAAGACAGGTGGTAAAATGATGCCTGGCTTAACTTGAAAATGTCTTAAATCCATTAGTCCTAAAATGTGAACAGTAATATCTAAGGAAGATATTACAGTTATATATCATACTGAAAGTCTTGTTTGATTATAGTGGCATAGAAATATGATAAATAAATAAATAAATAAATAAGGAACTTAAAATCTGAGCTTTATAAATCCAGACAGCCATTAGATAAGAATTTTAGATGGGATAAAGCATTTCTGCATCTTTTGGGACCATCTCACAGTCATCTGGATTTTTGCAGCCAAGATCTGATAGCCCTATTATAATGGATTTAAACGTATTCTGATATGTAAATGACTTGACCCAAACAGAAATAATTTCTTCTTCCCATATTCCTAAAATATTCTTTAAAATCTTCTGCTTAGAAATAATTCCTTGCAAAAAAAATAAAAAAAGGAATATCTCAGCATCAAAGAAAGCTTCCTTAACTGCACTGTAGATTCATGGAGAATATTATTTCTCCATTCTGTAATTCATTTGTTTTCTTCTTTCCTGTTTTGTATTTCATATTCTTTAATTTCTCTTGATAATAGACATCTCAAGATATGCTGTTTGTTTGGTACACTTTTTGATGCTCTACAAATGAGAAATCTTCCAGTATCATTAAACCCTGGGCATCATGTGAGTTGTGCTCTTGAGGTAGATGGATGGTGCAAAGTTGACAGTGATTGCCAATGTAAATTAATGCCATACTAAATTAATGTCATACTCAATATACTCCATGTTATTATTATCTGTTCTACCTGTTGACAAGCATGGGGAGACATCACAGAAGTCCCACTTCAATTTGTTATTCACATTGACAAAGCACCAGGGTTTTTCATCACCATCTGGATTCCTAAAGGAGAGAGTTTTCAAGATTCACCAATCAGAAGAACGAATCTTCAAGAAAAGAAATTATTAATTGAAGAACTGATATGCAGTGGAACTGAACAGCGTTCATGCTAAAATATCAAGTCATTCAGGAACCAAGAAGACAAACATTATTAATAATGACATCTTCTCAGTTTATTCTACTTACCTACTTCTAGTGATGATACTATGCCAATGCCTTAATTTTCATGCTTTTACAGAAATGCTGTCAGCATTCATTCCTTAGAAAAGTATTCAAGTATTAAAAACATTATCAAAAGTAGTCATTATTTCTATGGTGAGGTCAAATATTTCTGATGTTTTTCAGAATTAGAATGAAATGAATTAATAAAGAAGTAAAGAAGAATGAATTAATAGTGCTGATTTACTGTACTGTTATTTCATCACTGGTAGCAGGAACAACCTATCCTGCATTATACTAACACAGGGTTAGACAATGTGGTGCCAATATATCCTTACTTGTCATCCATCAGGTTCTCTTGGTGTCCCAAATGATTTAAAATGAAATAGAAAACTGGCAGGCTTAATATCCGTTCTTAAACATAAAAATAGTGACAACTTCTAGAAAAAGGAGACAGGAATGCTGGAATGGTGGACAGCATTCCAGGGGACCAGAGAGTGGCAGCAAATCTGACATCTTATAAAGGAATACTTTGCGATAAATATTTTGGGCCTTGCCGTTTTGCAGCTAAAAAACTTATTAATGGCTGAGTGAAGGATGTTCTCAGAACAAAGCCAACAACTATTCATTACTTAGTAATACTTAGTTTGGAATGGGTGTAGGAATAACAGTGATATTCATGGAATAGGCCCTTCTTGTATACATGGAATACCTGCAGAAGTTATGGTCACCAAGGTCATAATAGTCAGCATGTTCCATAAATGCATTATAACTACTGTCCAAAAGGAAATGAGAATTCCAGTGAAGGCATCTTTTCTGGAGGATTGTTTGGCTAACATTTCCTCTGTATGTGTGGCCATTTTCTTCAAAGCAATCTTCAGTTCCTACAACAAGATTGTCATGTTTTGAAATATCTTTTTGCTTTATTTTGGCCTGTTCTGACATTTTTTCTCTCCATTCTTAGATTCATGAACCCACACAGAATCAGAGAATGGTATCTCACAAGAATCTGCTTTCCACCCACTTTAGATTTTATCAAAAATACATATGTTTGATATTTTGAATCTACTTTTTACATTATGACAATGATGATCAAGATAGGGCTCAAATCAGTTTTACGTGTAAAAGTCTATAGTACAAACAATATTAATCAGTTCTTGGAAAAATTACTAGCAGATCATTAGAATGATCAAAATTTAATTTATCCACCATCACCCCCACACTAGTTGTGCCATCATTTGAAAATACAGACTATTCCCTTACCTACTTCACAAAATTTTCCTCTGAACCCTTCAGGGCATGTGCAGCTGAATTTGAATCTTAAACGATGTCTCTGACAGATGCCTCCATTTTTACAAGGATTTGGTTGACAAGATGAATATGCTAGTATTCAAAAATTAAATAGAACATTGTATTTAAATGAGATTGATAGCTTCTTCAAACAAAGTAAGGAGAGATTCATTCAAGGACACTTTTTATACACACACACAAAAAGATAAGTGGAATTACTATGGGAAGATCTGTTCTAAAATTTCCTAAATGACTGTTGCTCTGCCTATAGGCTCATTGGCACTTAAAATAACTCCATATAGGCCATCTCAAGTGAAACATTTTATACATACCCACTAAAGGATAAGTGGATTTAATACAAGAAGATCTAATGTCTCCCAAATCACCTATTCTCTGTCTATAGGTCCATTAAAATAACTCCATGCAGGCCATCTTGACCACTCTTTGCATTTAAGAAATAAGTTTTAACAGAAGTTAAGAAACACATTTAGAGTGAAAAGATGTTGATTTTAGAGGATAATTTAGAGAAAAAAAGGTTGTGATTCGTCTTTGCATGGAAAGCAGCAGTAATAGAGCTAATGCTAGAAATTGGTGACCAGTATGAAAGCAACAATTTGTCTCACCTTTTTCACATAATGGTGGTTTATATGGGTGTCTACAACTGCACTGATAATAAGGATCTCTTAACGTAATCAGACAGTCTCCTTGATTGCAGTTGATTCTCTGGCATGTATTTTTCACTGTGGTATTTAATAACAGGACAAGAAAGTTAGCTAGATTTTTCAAGTTCTGGAGACCTGCTTAAAACAGACTTTACATAGTGCAAGAATTGACAATAGAGATACACAAAGGTGCAATTTCACTCTAATTCCTGATAAAAGTTACAGTTACAGAGCTGTAAAACAGTGAACAACCATACAATTCCTACTCTTTCACCTCCCTGCAGATATGGAAATGTACATGAACTTGAGGGGAAAAACGCAACTGTATTTGAATGACAGCAATTGGATCCTGTCATTACGGCACTATAAATACTAATATACAATTGGAATTTCAAACATTTCTTCTTTGTTCCATATATGAACAACATGAATTGGTATGGTTCATGTTCATATTATAAACAAAATTATAATTCTGTATTAATTATTATAAGGCCACTGATTTGCAGTGGTGTTTGGAACAGTATCACAAAACAGTATATCACAGAGAAAAATACACACACACACACACACACACACACACACACTTCCTAGAATAAGTTGACTTGTGTGTTTAACTTGCCTAAAAGCTGGCTTATAGTTTAGTTTCCTTAATTCAGTTTTTCATTAGGAATATAAGTATAATTTAGGGAAACCTTGAAATTGTCTTAAGTTGCTGCTATACTGGGACATAGTAAAAGGTAACAATTTTTTTCAATCTATCTTCCTCCAAATATTTTAAAATGGGAAGTCCCAGAATTCCAGCTAGCATGGTCAAGGTCTGGAAGCTGCAATACAAGAACTTTCAGAGGTTGGGAAAACCGGATAAAGGTATTTCACAGTCAAGTAATTAATTTTGTTTTTATTTCTGTTATTAGTTATTTCGAACAGTGAAAAGGGGACCTTCCAATTTTATCTTCCTTTAGAGATTAATGCTCAGAAAGGCATGACCATTCACAATTTTTGTAGCATTAGAAGATGCAGAGAGTAAGGAAGATGATATTCAGGAATTGTTACCTAGGCAAAAGGGGATGAAACATTTTTAAAGTCCAGAACAACAAGATAACATTCAGAAGCAGATCAGGCAGATGCTTCCCTAATTCACTGAACTATAAGGAGAAGGAGGTATAGCACAATCAGATTTGCAGGATTCTGTTACTATAGCCAATCTCAATAAAAATAGTTTCAGATAACCTGAAATTGATTTTATGTTCTGGTCTACCTAGTGGGGCTGCCATAAGTTTGTTGTACTTTGTACATATAGGCATCCCTACCCTACCTACAATTTCTTCAATGGACGGATTTTGAAAAATCCCACTCGAAGCAGTCAAATGCTTTACAGATGTTGAATGTTAACAATGGAGGTAGATATAAGTATTAAAATATGCTTAATACTTTTGTGTTTAAAAACTGCTTAACTTAATAAAGTACTGCCTGTGCATACCTAGATGACATATGGTCTGATGATGTATACATCATTTAATAAATACATTTAGCTATTAGTATGACTACTGTATATAACGTTTCATGTCTTCATTTAGAACACAACTGATCTATAAGACTGTGATGTATTGGTATCACCATAACTATAGAGTCTCTTCATGTTTTATGAATTGGTTCTCTCTCCCAGATACAATTAAATAATTTTATGAAATGTGGTAATATCTATTCTTGACGTTTTTAAAAAATCTTTTGATGAAACTATTACATCCTCCTAGCTTATTATTTTACTGTATAGTATTTACTTCTTAAATGTATTTTGAACCAATATACAGGTTCTTCATTTATGGGCTTAATTTCTACTTTATCTCACTGATTATCTGCCAATGAGTTCCCTGATGTACATATTTGTGTAATATTTAGCAAGTTCTTGAATAATTTCTAGCTTTTCCATTATCATTTTGATTTTTTATATTTTTCACATGCTTTTTCTTTACTGTGTTGGCTAATATTTAAGAATGCATTGTTTTATACAGTTATACTTCAACTATTTGATTTAAAACAATTCTTCATAAAGCATTTTTTAAACTATTTTCCCCTAGAGCTAATACTGCTCTAGTTATATTTTAGAAGTTGTCCATTCTTTAAAGGATATCCTTTCCAATTCCAGAAATCCATAGTAGGAGCTCACATTGCTATTAACTGTGTTTAACTTAAACTGAAGATATTCATTTTAATCATTGAAGATGTTCACTGTCCATTTAGCTATTGCTCCAATATTTGATTTTACTTTGTTTAGACAAAAGTTACCATAGCAAGGTTTGTTCAGATTTTGCTTTGCCCCCTTAATCCTGTTGTCTTCCTACCAGCTTTCATGAGTAGCTGTTAAATTATGTTTATTCAAGTTCAGAAATTTCCAGACTTGGAAAAGTGTAAAAAGATTGGATAGCTTGTATGGCAGAAAAAGCCTTGGATCCAAGGGATCCTTTGTCCCCCTGCAATGACCTAACAGGAGAAACTATTTAGTCTAGATAGAGAGGCTTATTTTAAAAAAGAAAGAAATGAATGGAAAGATATACTGTAGTATGCCCCTCTAGCTTCATTTTGTCCACTTTGTCTGTAGCCAGAAGAGCATTGGAACGTGCAAACATTTCCATACAGAAATGCTCCACCAGCACCTGAAGATTGCTTGGTGCATTCATATTGCTTACCCTGTATCTACTTCATTCACATTTCTTTCAAATGATTCTGAAATGTAATAAGAACTAACTGAAATGGCAGCAGTTGTTTTCTAAATCCTTAATGTATTGTTTTATGCTTGGGTAATTAAGCTCTTCTATTTTTCTTATTCTGCTGCATTCTAAATCTTTATTTGCAGACATCCACAGTACATATATATGGACCCACTAATTCTAACATACAAAGTAAGATTATTCCAGTCATGCTAGGATCATGCCTTTCCACTTGTTTGAATTCTCCTTGTCCAGAATTTGTTTTCCAGAAAGAAATATATTCAACAAAAATACACATGCAACTTCTTGTATGTATTCAGGATTGGAAATTATGATGGGTAATAGTGGGACAATCCAATTAAAGTGATAAGTACTACAGAAATTAAAGTTATAATTTTAAACTTGAAAGTCCTTTCAGATTTCCAGCTGAATCTAAATAAATCTATTTTATATTTTGTTAACTATATGATTTGCAATAGTGTCTACATTTCCCGGCTTTATATAATAGTATTGACAAGATGAAGATGTAACTTACCATGGTCACACTTTGATCCTGTGTATGGTTCAGGGCAGGAACATGTGTAGCTGTTTCTGTTTCTTTTACAGACTCCATTGTTCTGGCATGGGTTGGTCTGACAGGGATTTTCTAGCACAGGGAAATAAACCTGACGTTTATTTTATAAAAGTCTGATTCATGTGTGCAACTGAAAACAGCAGCCATAGAAATGATGACCTATCTTTACCAATCTTATTGAAAAGTTCTTTCACCTAGAACAGTGACGTTTGCTTGCAATGACAGATTTATAGAAGCAGAACAGACTTCTCCATTTTCCCCAGTTCTATATTTAGCCAAAGACTGGACTCCTTTCTTTCACTTCCCATGTTCTGTTTTCCCATCCTATAGTGAGAATAATGAAGTACCATTGTGAGTGAAGAATTCATAAATCCAATCAGAGTCAAAGAAACTATATCTGATCTCAACCCCTGCTGGCTGTATATATTCGGTGTTGTATTCATCATCATAGTCATCAGCTGAATCTGCAGACATATCAGAAACAAAGGAGACTATAACATGAATGAAAAGCAGCATTTCAAAGTTGTTTAGTGTAGCAAATATGTATTAATCTGGTGAAATTAAACTAGACAACATTGTTTATAGAAGTAAACATGGTGATCATCAGCACATTCCTATTTCTCTGTGTAATGTACTGCAAAAAGTAAACAATATGAGAAACATGCAGGGGCATGTTTTGAGTTCTTGGAAGAAAGATTCATTTTACTTTAATTTTAATTCATTTTACTTTCGCAACAGTTTTTACAAAGAGTTGACAATGAGAAGCAATGACTTGGCATAGGTTGCCCAACAGGTTTCATGCAGTATAATATTTTGAAGGTAAATCTGCAATCCTATTGTATAATTAGAAAAAAAATCACACTGTACTGTATAGGGCATCAGTCTACTATGCTGGAATCCTTGAATAACTAGTCATTTTGTTATAGAAGTCATATTTAACTGAATGTCATTGCAAGCAGAAGAAAAATATGATTTTCATATTATGCAACAAGGTAAATAATCAAAACTTTAATACACCAGTTTTCTTGGCACAAATGTTGCTGGATTATTTTGTATTAATATATTGAATTGTGTTTTTTAATCAGTCTTGTGTATTCTTGATAACTGTAGCTGACATGATTATGGACAGAATAGTAAACTGGATTGTCCAACAGAAAAAAAAATATTTTTGATGAAGAACGTACATCTTGAGTTTAATTGTAACTTAAGAATAGTCTCTCAGTGTTAAGTTCATGTGAATGTATACACCTTCTCTCTGAAACACATATATATTTAGGCATTAGATATGTTTACCAACTAACCTTCTGAAACCTATATTACAATATCTCAGACATGAAAGTCTTTTACAGATAAGATTCATAATGACATTTCAACACATTTGGAATATTCTAAAATTTTCTTTTTAAAAAGTAAATTAGATTAGTATATATTTTTGTCTGAATAATGCATATTCTCTTTTACAAAGTCTTCCACATTCTAAATATAGTCAATGAGAAATGTTCTGTTTATTGTAGTACTTCAGGACTGTATCTCGGCTTTTAATCCAAACCTCCATTGTTCAGAATCTTTTTTGTAAGCAGCTTATTTTTTTCAACTTGATATCTATGGACTATTCCCATATAATACTGTGATGTGACTGCAACATTTGTTATGGTCTTCGAGGTAGGAGAAATGCCTTGTTAAAAGTAAATAGACTGCTTCAAAATCCCGATTCCATTCAGCGCGCTGCTGAAATCATTTCACTACAATCAACTAGTACTGGATAAAGTACAGGTAATTATTCTGGTGTTAGTAGCCCTATAAGAGAAGGGACATATTCATGAACAAAGGAAACAAGTAGGAGATTCTCCTTAACTTTGATCATGGTGCCACATTTCCAGTGCACAGAAACAGATCTTTGTTCATAGCAATGGCTCTCAGGATACCCATTGACAAATAGCTTTCTGAATAGCAAAGTGAAGATGGGACACAGTTCTTTCCATAGACTTTTCACAGAAGTAGTTGATTAAGATGGGTCATCCGCTCTTTCCGGCAGGTGTCAGTGCAGTTTGTTGGAACCACTGGTGAGTTTCAAAGAGCAGGTATGGTAATGAGGAGAGTGAAAATGCATACAGGGATACTTTTAAAAGCTCTCCCCTAGGGCTGGGCCGATGGCCTGGTGAACAATGTGTCGCCTTGAACTGATTATCAACGACATTATCTTAGTTTTCTCAACTCATTCATTTGATTGTTGCCTTTATCTTTGTTCTTCCTTTGCTTCTGATGAAAAACACTTTTTTGTACAATGAATGCTTTATATTTCATATTAAAATAGAAACTTCTTTTTTCTATGGACCAAAACTGGTTTCTTGACGGTAAAAAAAAAGTTTCACCTCATTTATCGTTATGTCAAGTCAAGACTTCTTTTCTTCACTCATTATTTCTCAAGAGTCAAACCTTTGCAATATGAAAGTGCTGCAGGACTGCACACCAGGATGAGGCATAAGGAACTCATTCCAAGATAGGGCCATTGTCTTCACTGAGCAAATAAAGTTTAATGCAATGTAATGAAAAAGGAAAAACAAAGAAACTGTCTACCAGGAGTTCACATTTCAACCTGACAGTATGTGGGATTATTTTGCAAAAGTTAGAATTTCTCTGTTTATTTATTAAACTTTGTATTAATAAAGGTATCTTTGGCTCTTTATGTACTGTTCACACCTCCAGGCCAAGTACTGTATAGAAGAAATAAAGAATTTCCCCCCTTTTTCTAAACAATAGAGCCAGTTTTAGATGGATTGGAACCATCTTTATAGTTCTAAATACCCCACCACACCCATGGATGTCTTTTTATGATTATTGTTAGTCCAGCTTGTCCATTGTTCCTAATCAAATATTAGGAACCAAGTGACATTATGTGAACCACCAAGAGCTATTCAGAACTCTCTTTCAGGATAGCTTGCAAGTGTCAAGTCTTTTTGCTGCTGATGTTCATTTTTATATGACCATTGCTTTTTTAGTCATTTGATGTAGACTTTTTAGACATTTTTCAAAGCCTGCTTAGGACATACGTTTACTGTGTTTGCTCCAATTTATATCTGGAAATGTCAGCAGTCAGGTTGCTACACTGTCCTACCTGATCAGGTATTGGTGTTATACATTCTTCATTAACCACTTGGTATTCTGGGGTGTATATGATTATAAACTTGACCCTGTACGCAATATCTATCTTGATTTTAAAGGATTTATCATATGCAACATTGTATACTCTTTTTTCAGGGTTTGATGTTGATAATATGAAAAAATTAATTATCTAGTATGAAAAATAAAACTAAGGTCTGTGTCCATTATTGAGGAGAATATTCTGTATATTTGATACATCTATTGTTGCAAAATCTTTGTATGGTACAACTGTTAATCTAATCATCAGATCCATGCAATCCTTTCTTCCGGAACATGTTTTGTGGCATGATAAAAACTGCTTCTATATCTATTAGAAGAATAGCCAAACAAAAGCTTATCATGAGTTCTCTGGTGCCATATGGAGTGATTGCAAAAATATCTGCTTGGCAGACATAAAATCTCCACCAGCCCTGAATCCAAGTGAAGGATTAAGTGTCAGTAGGGATTCTGCTGGCCACAGGACCAGAAAAATCCCAACATAGGATTTCTTCAGGAACAAATAACTCAGACTTCTTCACTGTTACCGTTCATTTTAAAATGCCATTTTCTAATAGAGGCAGAGAAAATATTCAGTACTAATAGCTTTTGGTCACAGTTTTCACTTTTTGCAAATATTGTGTTGCTATGATGGAAACTTGTTCTAAATTCAGATCTCAAAAAGATCCTCCTTTTTGCAAAATAGTGAAAGGCAATATATTCTGTTCTAAACAGAAGCAAGCATTCTGACTGAATATTAATAGTCTTAGACTGGACTTCTTTTTAAAGGTAATTTTTCTCTTTACCGGTTGATAACCACTACATATCCTTGAGTATCTTTTTAAAAAAAATATTTAAATAATTCTTTTCCAGTCATGTATATTTTTCACAAGTCCTTTCTTTAGTAAAATAAACTTTAAAAAAAAATCTAAGCACCTAATTAACATAGAAATTCTGACCCAGGGGCTTATTTTATTGCATTGCAGAATCAGATTTTTCATTAATGAAAAGTTGAAGTGATGTGACATTTGTTCTGACTATCACAGAAAAATAAATAAGACAACCTATGTGTATTTTCAAAGTATAAATTTCTTCTGCATGGTGCAACCACCCCTTCCTCTTTAGCTTGTAGTTGATAGTCAAAGATGGACTTTTAAAGCTTGAAATTAGCTTTGACGTTTGGATGATCCTTTAAACTAATTACAGTATTCTTTCATTTATATTTCTGTATCTTCCTGAAGTCTTGACTCAGTTAACAAGTTTCTAATAAATATTCTTAGACCCATTTACTTATATGAGTGCATTCCGGAGGAAACAAATAATGTGCTGTTGTTAAAACTCAGGAGTTTCACAATGATCTATGAGTCACTGACGTTATAAAACATCTTAGTTTTAACAGCTTTATCTGATAATGATTGTCAATGTTGAATGATTATTATCTCTGCTGTTTGAAATAACCCGTTTCTTGAGATTGTCTTATATTGATTAAGGTTACTCAAAATGTGGGTCATGACCCACATAGCCTCAAATATTATTGCAGGTTCTTTCCCCATTCTTTAAGATACTGGGGTTTATTCAGATATATAACTATTTTCAAGATAAAGTAGGGAATCTTTGATTTGGATTACAGAGATAAGAATAACATTCATTACATAATGGTGACCTCCCTGGTGGATCTTTCATCTTACCCAATTAATTCATGAACATCCTTTCTGTCTTGCATAGCAGAAAGTTGCGTGTTGTCTTTGGCTAGACTTAGGCTTTCACATCCATGGTTCGAGAAGGGAGGATTAATAATATTCCATTCCAAGATCATGTATGACCTTGTTTGGAATGGGCAATCAAGACAGCATTGCACACTTTGTTTTGCTGCTTTTTATTACAAGGCTGGCTCTCTAAATTAATCATACCGTCACTATTTATGCTAGCTTGAAAAGTAGAACATGTATCTAGAAAGTTTGCAAGAGTAGAATGGTATCTAGAAGGTTTGCCAAATACTTTATGATTGTGATTGCCATAGAAGGGGTTTGAGTTTAACACTGGAAATGTTTATTAGTTGATATATTCTTGCCTGGGTATGGTTCACTATTCATGTTATTAATTCTCTGTTAGTTTTTTATTTTGGTTTTATGTGATTGTATTGTTTTGGAGTTTAACTGTAAATGAACTAATAGTAATAAGCTATTTTGTTTGTTTTACCAAATGTTCAGATTTATCCATTACAATTTATTGCTATATCAGAAATGTTAATGAAGTTTTTGTAATTTGCTTTGATTAAAATCAATGCATTTCATGGATTTTTTAAACACAATTTACATGGACAAAACTCCAAGTGTAACAAATGATACCTATTGATCATGTGACAAAGTACCAACTTCCTGGGGAAGATGGCAGACTGAAGACAGCTCCATGTAAGGTGGAGCTGACATCTGTGGACTTTAATAAGGAGCTGATTAATGTATCAGCTCCTATGATCCTCTCTGGATAAAAGAGAGAGATGGAGAGATTGCCCAAGTTGTTTCTCCTTATGACTGTTCCTTTTCCTCATGGAGAGTCCACAAGACAGCAATCTCAGTGGGGGTAGGAAATTGAGAGACAGAGGAATTCTTCATAATTGCTCAAGCTGCAAATGGAGCCTTTTTAAAAAGGACACTTGTACATGTCAAACTACCTTCTAATTGCCTATTAATTATTTCAAAGAAGTTAGACACCTGCAAAGTGACAAGGCTGGAAATAGCCAGTGAGTGCCTTTAATTCTTAATATAAGAGTATGAAGATTTATTTTTATATATTTTAAGAACTTAAAATAAAAGCAAAAAGCAAGACAAGGTTTTGGCTATAGAAAGTTTTTAAACGGATTAAGGGCTCAGAAAGCATTGGAAATTGGACTTTGGATATTAAGACTCTGAAATTACTCTTAAAGAATAATTGCATGTTGGTAGGAAAGAGAAATTGTTTTTGAGACTGAAAACATAATCAGACAAGTAATTTAAAATGGTGTTTAGAGGTATCTTTGAGGATCTGCATCAGGATATTGAATCAATTATATCAGCTATATTATGTTTTTCTGAGAACAGTTTATTCTCAGAAGATGTTATAAAACAAAATATCCAGCAAAATCTACCTGAGGAAAACATGGATGAGAATCTGAATAAGAACTTTTCACAAAAACTGGGTGAGAATTTGAAAATTAAGAAGGAAATAAAAATGACAATCCTATAGAGAAATTGGAATAATTTCATTTCAGTGGAGTCACAAGAGATATTGTTTAAAGTATTGAAGAAAGTTCCAACAAAGATCAGCTACCATCTGAATGGATTACAGAGAAAGATTGTTCTGTATAGAAGAAAAAAGGAATAAAATTGGTTTATTTGACCAGGGATAGAATGGGACATGTTATTCTGGTTGATTATTTTTGGATTTGCAGATATCCAAAAAATGTGGTACACTGGATTTGTTTATACTTAATAAGGTGTTTAAGTTCTTTCCTTTATTGTTATTTTATGTATCTTAATTACATACAGTTTTGTTTATACTTAATAAGGTGTTTAAGTTCTTTCCTTTATTGTTATTTTATGTATCTTAATTACATACAGTTTTGTTTATACTTAATAAGGTGTTTAAGTTCTTTCCTTTATTGTTATTTTATGTATCTTAATTACATACAGTAGTACTCAAATTGGCTTTGTATTTAATTGTCATTTTACTTAAAGTAAGGAAGTTTGATCTTGCCTTCTTTAAAAGACAAACTATTTCTCTCTGTTATGCTAAATTTCAGCCTTTTGTGGATTTGCCTATAGTTTAGAGTTGAGATATGAAATGTTTATTAGAATGGGATAAGTTGCTATTTAGTTGTATATTGAAGCTTTTCTTTTGTAAAGGACAAATGGTCTCTTTTTGTTATGTTAAACCTTTATTTTACTTTGTTTATATTGGGATATTGGGACCATTTTATGCCTTTTAAAAGGGATTTAGTTTTAGCTAAGAGTGGAGATGTGGTAGTTGAACTTCATTTATGTTAACTAAAGTTAATATTTTAGAGCTCTGTTTGGACATTTTGCTGAGAATTGGATGGGAGAAGAGGTTACTTATTTGATTTGCCTAATATTAAGAGGTGGGTTATGGGATGAAGAGTTGTGCATTGGCTAAATAAGAAGATGTGAAAAGATTATGGAATTGTTTATGCTTGTCATGATGGGGGTGGGGAGTCACTTTTTTAGGGGGAAAAAGGTTTTTTTTAGTCATTTTTTTAGGGGAGAAGGGGAAGGGGATCCTGTGACAAAGTCTTATCAGATATAGATTAACCACTGACACTGAGCACTAATTGCTGGGTTTAGTTTCTTAGAAATATTTCTGGGTCTCTGGCATCTCTACATCAGTAAGTCATAAAAAAAGCATTAGGAGTAGATCATATTGGAAATATTTGCTGATGTAAAATATATGCAGACTAAGCAAGCAGGAGTCACTAAGTGGTGTCTTACTTATCCCTAATCCTTAGGATTGCTTATGCTAATAGGTTTAAATGGGCCTAAAAAACATTTACGTTGCCCCTTTACGTACCCTGCAATGTACTACAAAGGTTAAGTGCAACTTAATAAGCTATTACTGGAAGACTATGAATCCGCCTGAACATCCCCGCTTCCATCCTTGGAGAAACCAAGAAGCATCTCTTACATCATTCAAATATTCTATGATCCAGTTCTTTCTGTATTCTACTTTTTAACCATAAGAGAATATGTACAGCAGTTACAAGGGCTACAAAATCATTTATTTTATTCAAAGTTTATATCTGGCTAATAAATTAGCTTACCTACATTCAGAGGTACCATTATTTAATATATTTGATTATACACGGATAATTATGGTATATCAGCCAAATTTAAGCATTAAATCTTTTGCTTAATGATACACAGAAACTATAGTAGTAACTAGTAGTTTGGTCCGGGACCTGTTTATGGAATACTTCTGATCCAGAAAAGAATTTCTGCTGGCAGAATGAAGAAACTGGTTCTTCTCACCCATAGCGGTCCTCTATACTCTCCCATTGAGGGAGGCACTGGAATAATGCAGCATAGAGTAGCAAGGAAAGGCTAGGTTACAAGCTGATATTTTTTGGAACTTTCAGTAAACTAAATAAAGAAAAAGTTGAATAGAACACACTTCTCAAATATATTAAAATGTAAAATATACCATTAGAGATACATTAGTGATACAGATATCATAATGCTTTTTTGAAAGAACATGAAACAAGGATAACATTATTCAGAAACTGATAAAAGGTTCCATGTAAGAAATGTTTTACAGCTTTTATGTTACTGACTTTTCCAACCATGGAAAAACTCAGACAAAAATATTCCTTCCACATACACACACTTAGATGTTCATATCATATTGGTACTTATCATTCCATAATACAGACTATCCATTTCTACATAAATCGATTTTGTATAGTAAGGCTGTTGATACTTGTATACAAAATATTGTTTTTGATGAATATTTCAATATTATAATCATTCTGTAATAGGAGTGAAAAAAATCTCATAATCAGTATTTTTTTTCCCACTGCTACTGATAAATTAACAACTACTTCCATATAGATGATACAAGATCATCATATTCCTAAAATAAGTTCCATGGTACTTATTGTGCATGATTTCTACCAAAAAATGTATAGGGCTGGAGGTTTAATTTCCATATGGTGTCACACAAGTCATCCTACTGGAACCATCTGACTTGCTTAACTGCTTAAAGGCAAGCATGTACTGAAGGTTCTTGCCCAATCAAATTAGAACAAGGTTCTACAAGCCAAGTGGTCATAGCACCGAGATACTCCTATTTCTTCAAGGTTCAATGCAGCCACATGTTGCATGCACAGAAGATACCTCCAGTGGGATTCTTCTCAAAGGAAAACAGCTCTCTGTAAGGTTTATACAGTCCTAGCTATTCCCACCATAGTTTAACATTGTAAATATTATAAAGTATTTGCCACAAAAAAGACATAAAAAAGGCACACTGTTTACCAGTTTGTTGGTTGAACCATGATGATATGATCCCAGAATGCTGTATGGGGGGGCGGGGGAGAGAGAGAGAGAGAGAGAAATATGGGATTTTTGTAATGCTATATAAGACAAATCAGATATAAATGCTAACTGTAAGCCATTTTAACACAGCAACCCCATTAAAAAAATCAGCTTTAATCCTCTCAAACCCATTTAAAACAAATACACTTGAACATTTTAAAATAGTATATATTTCAACTAGAAGCAATAATGTCGTGTTTATTTAAGACCTTATATACTACTTTTCTCCTATTAACTGCAATCATTTTAATTATGCATGTAAATGCACACTGTCAGTCACAGGATTAAGGTTAAATAACTATGATTATTAGGTTAGGTTTGTTTAGTTTTTTAAGTTTGTTGATTGATTTGGCCATTAAACTGTGAACTATTGGATGGAATTTTGAAATTACTGCCAAGTCTTTCATATTTGTGTTGTGCCTTGCTAATGTCATGCTGCTGTTGTTGTTATTATTATTATAATTAGAAAGTAGCATTATGTTTTACAATCATTTTGAATTTTGGGAATAAAGAGAAACATGTTCGTTTGGAAGGGCTTTCTCAGAAATAAGTCTATAATACATTACCACTTTTCCTGTAGATTTCATAGATTTATTGGGGACTTTTATTCTGGGCAGATCCACATTTCTGCTTATCCCATCACCTGGAGATGTTACCCAGTGTTTCTTGAGTGCAGGAATGGATGATGTAATCTGCTACCCATTCCTAGCTCACTGTCAATTTATCTTCTACCCATGTTTCAAAGCTCTATTTCAAAACTGCCAACATAAGCCCTTCAGAGTGGATGACCTACAGTATTTCTTTCTGATCTAGTGACAATCTCAGCTTTGGTTAGATACAGTGCCTGGCATGACCCCTCCTTTCCAGCAGTTGGCTGAGGTACTATGAAGCCATTTAACCCTGGGCTGCTGGGGTCCTATGTTCTCTGCTGGTTGGGAGGTACCTTCTTAAAAATTCATCTTGATGCAGCACTGACCTATTAAGTCAACTTTCACTCTACTAAACCCCATCTCCTGCTCAGAGTACTGCAGAGTACTCCTCCTCAGCCCCCATATCTTTATGTTACTGTGTAGACATGTTGAGACAAAGCTGTACAGTTTCAATAAATAGTGCAAAGTTCCCATGGACTTACCATGGAATATAGAAAGGAACTGTTCACTTTGCTGTAATCATTACAGCTCACAGCAATGATGGTCAAAAAAAGGGGTGGAAAAAAATAAGTCTGCATTAGCATCAATTGAGAGAACCTGGGAAGTGTATGTGAAAAAACATCCATGTGTTTAAACAGCTGGGAAATTAAAGGAAAAGAATGGGGACCACTTGGGAGGGAATAGGTACTGGAAAACTCCTCACACAGGGGCCCACCAAGGCTTGCTTCCCTGTGTGGGTTGGAAGAGCAAGAACCATGAGAACTATCAGTCAAGCCCTGATTGAGGTCCAGACTGAGTACAACCCAGCCTTGTTGCCCAATCACTGCAATATGAAATGGAATTTTTAAGGTCAGCTTCAGGAATACCCAGGTACAGCAAGGAAGAGAAGTTGTTTATTTGCTGTGCAAATTATCCCTAGAGTGGCTAATTAGCACTAATTATATTAAAACTGGAAAGTATCAGCAGATTTGGTGGAATTTTAAGGTTACAGAAGTAAAATGAAAATCTGAAAAGGCTCTTAATAAAGCAAACATATTTTGGGCATGTGTCTTGAATTCTCAATACTGTAACATTTCTTTTGCAGGCTCTGTCTTGTTCAGAATCTATTAATTGATTAATTGTGCACCAGCAAGTCAGTGTCAGCTTTTAGCAACCACATAGATAGATTTCTGCCATGACAATCTGTTCCTAGCCTGATCTTTCAGGTGTTCCAGTGGTGCACCCATCGCCACTGTAACTTAGCCATCCACCTTGCTGCTGGTCATTCTCTTCTTCTCTTTCAGAATATATGCCAATGGAATATTGCCATTGGTGAAGTTAAGCTCCATTACTTCTGAAATACTTTTCTGCATCTAAGTGATCTCTACTGGTTTGTTTCCTGGCACAAGCTGTAATGTTTAGTCTTCTGGGAACACACAGTGGTTGAAGTTAATTGTTAGGTTACCATAATTCAGGGGATCTAGTTCTGCTGTACACTCAATACACTCTGAATGTATTGTGAGCAATCACCAGCTCTATTGTAGGGCTGTGCAAAGAACACGCCGATGCATGCAGAGTGTTTCCTGGGTGATCCCGATGAACATGTTTCTGCCTTTAGGAGATAGTCTTCAGATGAACTTGCCAAGCTTTCCAGAAGATGCAGCTGCTTTAAAGCTTAAAAGACAGATGCTTTGCATGCACCAACATGCTTTGTGAAAGATTTTTATCTAATGCTTTGCACAGTCATATTAAATAGTAGAAAAGAGGTATAAGAATGAAAGTAAAACCCGTCGCCTTTTATTTTGTTCTCCATTCTTTAGACTGCTATATTCTACGTTGCCAGAAGATGGAGGGCTTGTCTTATTAAGGGAATAACACAATATGCACTGATATTTCTTCTCACAGTGGTTTTGATGGTGCAGAATGAATAGATGGATTAAAAAGCTAACTTTCCTAATTGTGTATAAGAAGCAGAGGCACTTTTTGTCTTAAGAAATCTTTTAAGAATTCTGTCTTAACAAATTACTTTTAAAATCAACAACAAAACTTGTCATAACAAGTGTAAATTAGTTATATTTATGAATGTAATCAGTCTATTTTCTAATAAATATATTTCTGTTTCATAAGAGCTATAAATGGCCTAGCAGTGCCTCATGGCAGAGTCAACCTAGAGGGAATAACGGAGAGTTTTGTAGGTAGTTTGATAATGGCTTGAATCAAAGAAGAGAAGGATTACAATTTATATTGCTTGGGAAACTTGAAATCTTAGCTAATTTGAATGGGATACATCTTTGTGTCAATTAGATAAATTTTCCTGCATTGTTTACCATCAGTAGTCATTCAGTCTGAAGAGAGATTTGAAAAGAGAAGAGCATTTCAAAGATTTCTCATAGGTGGACTGTGATGTGCTTGAAATGATTTAGTGATGAGGTGGCCAAGGGTGTAGGTGAAGATTCCATTTCTCATGTCATCTCTCCAGCTATTTGCACTTTCTCTGGCTTCCCATACTCCAATTATCCAAGGAGGACATTATAAGGAAACTTCTTTTATGTGGCCTTTTCAAGACTAAGAGTGAGTCCTATCCTTAAGAAATTGTTGGAGAATGTTTTCTACCCCTAAAAAAAATAGAAACAACTAATGTTCAGCCTACACATTTCGTGGAGTTCTTAGTCTAACAGTAGAGCTGTGCAAAACATTTGAAAGCACTGAATTATGAAGTATGTTAGCAGCTGTGTTCTCTTGTGTTTTTGCTTTGTAGGCTGTCTCTGGTTCTCTATGTGTGTGTTTGTGTGTATGTATGCATGTGTGCATGTGTGCACAGACCATATTTCTTCTGGGACTGCCAATGTAACAAAGCATTGTGCAATTATGTGCATACACAGATAACCAGGGACAGTCTTCAAAACAGCTGTATCAACTTTATAAAGGATGTGACTGTTTTAATGCTTTGAGAAGGAGTGCTTCACTTGGACTAACACACTTCGGCAACTATCTCTTTGAATGCTTTCTACTGCCCTCTCAAACATTCTTGATTACTCATGATATGCCTCAGTCAACAGACTGAATTGGTATTGCCAACTCTGATTAATAATAGTAGTAACCACCACAACAAATACTACTATTTCCTAGAGGATAGCCATGGAAATCTGTTGTGGCAAAATCAGCAAAGATTCTTATAACATCTTAGAGACTTCATTACAAAATAAACTAAGGCTTTAGGTTATAATTTACAATTGAAAATCTGTAGCACTTCAGTCAAACTTGTAGTTTAGAAACAGAACACATTAACTCTTTGACTATTCTTATAGGTTAAATTGGTTTGTTTGGGACCACTGATTCTCTGGAACAGTTACAATGAAAACTCTGCAGTGCAGAAATTGGCCCATTCATGTCTGCTTCCTCCTACCCACTTTTCACTGAAGTGCAATTATATATAATTACGTCTCTTAGTTTGGCTTATTTGAAATTACATCTGCTTTTGTTCTAACAAAACTAGACTCCAGAAATAAAAAGTGTTTTGCAGTTTCTACCTTTTCCCCACCAAAACAGGAAGCAGGTTGGAAGCCAAATAAATAACCTTCTTCTGATTATTGTTAGCAAAACATTGAAAAAAGTTCTAAAATATTGGAAGGCAGAAAACAACTTGAAGTTGCAATCTTATGCTAAATACTTTTGCTTAGAAATAACCCATATTTGTTCATTTGTATCTATCATATATGCAAATAAAATTGTATTAATAACTTCATGTACATACATTTTGCCTGTCAACCAATCTTAGAAATGAACAATTAGAGGAGATTACAGTAAATAATTTACCCGTTTGATCTTTGGGCTTCAGGCTGCTGCTTATAGCACCAGTGAATTAAAATAGCAGCCCTACATATAAACAGTTGTACTACAGATATATATTTTAAAAAGTGGGCTCATTCTTTTTAACAGAGGCAGATTTCTCAAGCCTAGAGTTGCTGGATTTAAACCTGAGGAGCATACGTATTCCTTAAGCCTCCAGATGTGGCAGAAGATAAGGGAGATGCAGCTTCTTCAACCAGTGTTCTCCCCAGCCCTTTTTTCAGCTTGCTTTAGTTGATCAGAGATCCTGGGATACCCCATAGCAAGAAGATTGATAAGAGGACCAGAGTGGGTACATCAAGACAAAAAGGTGACCGCCCTTCAACTGTTTGATCAAGAGATGTAAGGATATGTAGTCATTTTCTAGAAAAAAGCTGCCTAAATCGAGGAGTAAAAGTCCAATATATGTGAATGCTAATCTAAATGCAACCAGAAGCCACATAACATGATCCTAGTTTCTCAACAACCATTCCTAGTCCTAGTGATGAAAAGAGAAGATGGG